TAAATAAATAAATGATCTAAATCTAAAACTAAAACTAAAAGTAAAAGAGTGGTTGAGTTCGAAAAGGAGAGTAATTACTGATGGGTGAATTACATTAAAGGTCCCTATAGTTTGGGATTTATATCATTTTGGTCTCTGACTTTTCAATTGTGACATATTTGACCGTAAATTTTGAATCTTATTCCAAATAAGGACAATTGAAGATACCATTTGATTGTCCAAGGATAAAACTGTCAATTTGATAAAAATATAACTAATTTGACAAAAATAAATATCAAAAAAATACTTTTAAAATTTTTAAAATTATTTCTACACTCTAAAGATAAAATTATGTAAAATTGATAAATCTTTTAGACATTTATTTATTTATTTTACCAAATTAATTTTTATTCTATGTTTAGATGATGATTATGTAATGGGTAGTTGTTAAACTTTTAATGTGTAATTGATACATTTAATATATTAAATATTTTTAATTGTGGATTTTTTTTTTGATTTAATGGATTAGTTTAATAATGATATCAAAGTTTTCGCCATATTTGACTTTTGAAAAAATAGAAACTAATTTAATGAAAAAAAACAACCACCCATTATATGATCATCATCCAAACACATAATAAAAATTAATTTGGTAAAAATAAATAAATAAATGTGTAAAATATGTATCAGCTTTACATATTGGTGGGTAGAAATAATTTTTAAAAATTTAAAAATATTTTTTGACATTTATTTTTGTCAAATTAGTTTATATTTTATCAAATTGACGATTTTATCCTTGAAAAATCTAATTATATATTCAATTGTCCTTATTTGAAACAAGATTCAAAATTCAGGGTTAAATGTGCCACAATTAAAAAATCAGGAATCAAAGTGAGACGAACTCCAAACTATAGGGACTGTTAGTGTAATTCGTCCTATATTAAATATACCGATTATATATTAAAATTCTAACAACCATTTATTATATGATCATTATTCAAACACGTAATAAAAAAAAATTAAAAAAAAAATTGATTAAGCATGGATCGTTTGAGCATTGAGATGATCTCTCCAAGGTACAATACTACTATATACACAATTCAACCTACAACTGTAAACTCCAGTTTTCCGAATACAGTCAACAAAGAGATTCTTTAGCGGTGCGTGTCTGCTCTGAGATGGTTTAGAAGATTTTCTGAAGTAGATTCATTGTGCAAGAAGCTTCAAGAGGTTGCCAATGTACAATTTTGCAACAGTACACATTCTTCCTCAGCGAATGATATGTTTGTTATATCAGTTACAATGATTCATGATTCCTATATATAGAAGAGGGTGAGTGTGTAGTAGGTAAGGAGTAGGTGAAGTGGAGGTGGTAGTGGTGTAGTGGGTTAGGTTTAGTGGAGTAGGTTTAAGTGGGTGAAGTAGGTGGAGAGTATGTGGATTTAGTGGGTTAGGTTTAGTGGAGTAGGTGAGGTGGTAGTGGTGTAGTGGGTTAGGTTTAGTGGAGTAGGTTTAAGTGGGTGAAGTAGGTGGAGAGTATGTGGATTTAGTGGGTTAGGTTTAGTGGAGTAGGTTTAAGTGGGTGAAGTAGGTGGAGAGTATGTGGATTTAGTGGGTTAGGTTTAGTGGAGTAGGTTTAAGTGGGTGAAGTAGGTGGAGAGTATGTGGATTTAGTGGGTTAGGTTTAGTGGAGTAGGTTTAAGTGGGTGAAGTAGGTGGAGAGTATGTGGATTTAGTGGGTTAGGTTTAGTGGAGTAGGTTTAAGTGGGTGAAGTAGGTGGAGAGTAGGTGGTGGGTTAGGTTTAGTGGAGTAGGTTTAAGTGGGTGAAGTAGGTGGAGAGTAGGTGGTGGGTTAGGTTTAGTGGAGTAGGTTTAAGTGGGTGAAGTAGGTGGAGAGTAGGTGGTGGGTTAGGTTTAGTGGAGTAGGTTTAAGTGGGTGAAGTAGGTGGAGAGTAGGTGGTGGGTTAGGTTTAGTGGAGTAGGTGAGGTGGTAGTGGTGTAGTGGGTTAGGTTTAGTGGAGTAGGTTTAAGTGGGTGAAGTAGGTGATAGGTTTTAACAGTGAATAAATCATTCCTATATTTCACACACCTTTTATCTTTCCTTTTTCAAATCTCTCCCAAATCCTCCAATCAAACACAGTATTAAAGTTAGCGAAATAAATAAGGTCTTATTTTGATATGTAATATGAGATTTCTAAAAATGTTGGACCTAATGGTTGCCTCCAAAACGTTTAAGCAAGTTTTTTTTTTATTTTTTGGGACATAAAGAAAGAACATATGATCCATGAAGAGCAGAGAAGAGGCATGTGCGGGATTTGGGGTGGTTGTTGGGCTGGGCTGGGCTAGACATAAATTACTATTGTGCAGTTAAATAGACCTATTTTGAGACCTATTTCGATAATTCGAATCATTCACATTTTAAAATACATCAAGTAGAATATATCTATAAATAAATTAATCGGATATCGTTTACCTTTTCATTCACCTACATTTGTATTTATTTTAATACTTTAAATCACAATTGTTATTCATTTTTGCAGATACAAATGTGAGTAGATGAAAGGGTAAACGATTTCCGATTAACTTGATTTTTTGTAGGTATGTTCTACTTGATGTATTTTAAAATATGAACAGCTCGGATTATCGAAATGGGTCTCGAAATAGACCCATTTAGCTGTACAATAGTGACTGTTATGCACAAGTACAGCAACCACCCCAAATCCTAATGTGTGCGGTTATATTCGACAATAATGTTAGTATGATGATTTTTTATTGTTTAATTTTATTTAGATCATGCAAATCAATTTATGTGATTTATTTATACTCCAAAAAAATAATCATTCTAACGTTGTTTCAAACATAAATAGCACATATTCAAAATTTTAGATAAAATATTAGTTTGTAATTTAAATTTATTGATCTTCACAATTAATGAATAAAATCTCAACCACCTTATATATATATATATATTTATTATTCTTAACCTATGATCCAATTAATAAGCTGCTATCAAAGCCTTTATTTGATTTATATAAGCATTTATTTAGGAGAAATATCACATAAGTGAAATTTTGAGAAAATAATTACAAATCAATAAGAAATTTTATAAATATTATTAATTTAAATTATAAATTTTTAAATGAATATGTAATTTTTTTTTCTGATGTTTAAAAATTGAAAAATAATTACTAAAGGTCTGTTTGGTAACCATTTTGTTTTCGATTTATATCTATAAAAATTAAAAAAACTACTATAAAAACTTGTTTGATAATTTTTTTGATTTATAAATGGTTGTCTTAATTTATAAATTTGAGAAAAAAACGTAAACTCAAAAAATGAGTTTACATTGATTTTTAAACAGAAATTTAAAATTTTGACTAATAATTTTTTTTTTCAATATTTTTTTTTCAATTAATTTTTTTTTCCAAATAACTTTGTTTTCAATTTTTTTTTTCAATTATAATGTGTATTATCCCATTGTCATAAATAATAAAAAATAAATATAAATATTTTAGACCTGAACAAACATATTTTTTAGTTTATATTTTCAAAATTTTTCAAACATTTTATTCAAACCAAATGCATTTGTAGTTTATTTTTAAAAATAAATAAATAAAACCAGCTTATAAAATTTTTGTAAACATAAACTAAAAACGTAAACGTTGCCAAATACTACCTAATTAATGATAAATTCTATTAATATTAAAAATTAAAATTATAAAATTTTTCACACATGTAATAATCTTCTCAAATTTCCTCTGATACGTAATTTTTGCTAGAAATTAGCTTGGGATTAGTGAAGCTAACAAGGACAAGTGGTAGAATTATGGGATTTAAAAATGCTATTAAGCATGAAAAATGTCTTGAGTTTTATCTTGAAATGGAATATATGGTAGAAATTTAAAACTAATAGAATATGAGTTTTACTTAAAATGATGGAAATCTACAGATATATTTTTTAAGGTGCATGATGTGGTGGTCAAACTCTTGAGAAATATTAAACCAATTGCATGGTTAAAAGAATTTGCAATTCACATTTAGTTCCTCCATTGTCTCCATAACTATTTACCAACGCCTCATTTCAATGCTTAGAGTCCGCTTATAAATCGTCTATCTATCTAAAATATATATTAAAATGTTAAACATAGAAGTGGAAAACTCATCTAATGTGTATGTATCAACCTATCGGCTCTTAAATCTTACATGCTAAGTATCAGTCCAACCCAAAACAAAGAAACAGAGAATTTTCTTTTTTTTTTTAAATGAAAAAAAAGAAAAGAAGAAAGAGCTAATACTGTAGATGAGTAAATATATACATGTCAAAGTAAACAAAGAAGAACAATTTACCAACGCCTCATTTCAATGCTTAGAGTCCGCTTATAAATCGTCTATCTATCTAAAATATATATTAAAATGTTAAACATAGAAGTGGAAAACTCATCTAATGTGTATGTATCAACCTATCGGCTCTTAAATCTTACATGCTAAGTATCAGTCCAACCCAAAACAAAGAAACAGAGAATTTTCTTTTTTTTTTTAAAAATGAAAAAAAAAGAAAAGAAGAAAGAGTTAATACTGTAGATGAGTAAATATATACATGTCAAAGTAAACAAAGAAGATAAAGCAATGAAGACGTGATCATGTACTAATAATTATATATGAAGGGCAAATTACATATACACCCTTCGAGGTTTGACTAAATTACAGATACCCCTGAGGTTTGAGAAATTACGAATTCCCCCCTGAATGCTATATTTGCATAAGAAATTAGGGGGTAATTTGTTATGAAATATAAACCTCAGGGAACAAATTGTTATGAAAATACAAACCTCAGGGGGCGGGATGTAATTTCCGAAACCTCAGGGGATATCTGTAATTTAACCATACCTCGAGGGGTATATGTAATTTGCCCTTATAATAAAGTAAACACTAAACAAGAACAGTTTCTTTTCATACTGTTTGAGTGCTTACCTGCACTGCATGGTTTGTTCAATTCAATTCAATTCAATTCAAATTTTCTTCTAAGGCATAAAAAGCTTGTTGCCACACTTGCATCTCCAAGCTTCTGGGTAGTACTCTAATGGCATCTTTATCAAACCCGGTTTAATCGCCACGTGAACCGCCTCACATGGCTTACACCTCCCACACTTTGATCTACAATTGGGCGGTGACGATCCTGGTCCCCCGCTGAGTCTCCTCTGAGTCATCACTTCTTCTCTCTCCTCTTTCACTTCCCCACCTAATGAACAACAACACAGATTACACAATAAACAATTCATTTACTGAGTCAGAAGTTTGGTTTCTGGGTTTTTTTACCGAGTTGCCGAGTTGGGTTGAGAGTAACAGCTGACGCAGAGGCGAACAAGAGGAAAGCTAAGGCAGTTACAGTAGCAAAGCTAAGGCGTATTACGCCCATTGCCAGCTTGCGGGTGCGTACGTTAGTAAGAAATTTTGTGAAGTATATGAAACTGTGTTGTGGAATTGTTGAAGAAAAAGAAACAGGTTGAAGACAGAGAAACCTGGATGATATACAATTGTCTGTCTTCCAAAAAAAAAAAAAAATTGTCCTGTAATTTATTTACAATCATATCAATTTTTAATTTGTCATAAATTTAATACAACATCAAAATATACAAACTTCAAAATTATACCGTAGGAGATGGATTTCCTACGGTCCATAATATGGATGTTGTTCGGACCTGTAGACCTCATCACAGGTTCTATTTTGATGATTTAAATTGTTTATTTTAGGGGTGCAACTCGGACAGGCTCAACCCGAGCACCTCGTGTCTAGCCTGAGTTTTTTTAGGGCTTGAACAACAATATATTGTAATCTGGGTGGGCCTAGGCAAATTTTTGATACCCGAATTGCAATTTGGGCTAGGCCTAGGTAGACACTACAAGAAAAAACACCTTTGGCGACTAAATTTTTAGTCGCCAAAGGTCCTATTTTAGTCGCCAAATGTCAAAATTTCACTTTTCCCGACTAAAAAGTTTAGTCGCCCGTGTTGTCGCCTTTTTAGCCAAATAGCTAAAAAGTTACTAAATTAGCCTGTTCCCAAACGAGGCCTTAGTCCTCCAAAAAAATCATATCAATTTTTAATTTGTCATAAATTTAATACAACATCAAAATATACAAACTTCAAAATTATACCGTAGGAGATGGATTTCCTACGGTCCATAATATGGATGTTGTTCGGACATGTAGAGCTCATCACAGGTTCTTTTTTGATGATTCAAATTATTTATTTTAGGGGTGCAACTCGGACAGGCTCAACCCGAGCACCTCGTGTCTAGCTTGAGTTTTTTTAGGGCTTGGACAACAATATATTGTAATTTGGGTGGGCCTAGGCAAATTTTTGATGCCCGAATTGCAATTTGGGCTAGGCCTGGGTAGAGGCTGTGTGTAACCCGAGCAATCCTAACCCGAGTTGCATTTTATATTTTATAAAAATTATATCATCTATGTATAAATAGGTGGCCCTTAGATTTTAATTTATTTTACTTTTTCATTGGACTTTGGCCCTTAGATTAGAATATTGTATTTAGACCATCAGATTAAAGTAACGACTAAATCCTACATATTCTTTTCTTTCTTCTCTGAATCTCAGACTCTCATTTTTTTTCTCAAAGAGTTGAAGAACGGTAGAGAGAGAAACAAGGACCACGAAGTTTAATCTGGAAAGGATTCCATCTGTGTAGATGTTCCTGCTCTTAAGGGTTCCAAGTAAGCAACCAGTTATACTCTTGTATCTTGATTAATATTTTACTATACTAGCTTGTATACTAATAGCAGAATGTTTATCCTAGCCTTCATCTATGAATTGCAATAGTTATATCATGAAGATGCTGATCATTTGGGCTATGGTTCAGATCTACTGAAATGCACCATTTTTAGTCCTCTATTTCAGATTTGGATGCATTCTGCTGCTACATTTGCAGAAGTTCGAATAATGATGAAATTAACTGTTTTTTGGATTATAATGGTAAATGCTTAATCAGGGTATGCATCTATGTAGATCATGTTTAACTTAAGTTTTTTTTCCTAGTTTCTCCTGTCAATATGAAAGGATAAAAAAGAGCTTCTTGTCGTAATATCATCATATTTCTTGTGAAATTTAGGCAATTCGGGCTAACTCGAGTTTAGATTATGAAGTTCAGTCCGAGCTTGGGCAGCCAAGCTCAGGTTGATGAGCGGGCTTAGGTACTGCCAAACACATTTCGGGATGGGCTTGGGCAACCCTCCAGTCCAAGCGAACCCGCCCGAGTTGCACTTCTAGTTTATTTTTTTTAGACATTTTGTGTATATTATCCATAAAAAAATTAAATCCATTTAATAATCATAACTTATTCAATTTATACGTTTGTTGTAAAAAATGAATATTCTATTTTTAAAACACAATTATCATTTTTTAAAAAAAAGCATTTACAGCCTAAATTACATGAAAATTGGTTTGAAACACGGTTTTATCATTTATCTAAAGATAAATTATATTAATCACTTCTGAGATTTGAAAAAATACAGTAAATTTTATAATTTTAACATAATTATACTAACATAAGAGTACTAACACAAAATAAATCAAAACTAATGCAGATAGTGTAAAAATACAAAGAAAATAAGGTAAAATATATAATATCATGTAAAAGAGATAATATCATTATTTTTTTATCCATATACTACCAAATTATTGATAAAAATAAAACTAAGGGAGCTCAATATAATTATGTTATTATGCCAAAAATGGGACTAAGGGAGCTCAATGTAACTATGATCTCTATCTATATACTCCCTCCATCCCATATTGATGGTCCATTTTGTCGTTTCTTAATGTCCCAAAATGGTTGTCAATTTTGAAAATTCAAAACATAAAATTTTATATTATTTCAAAACTACCCTTTAAAAATGATTATAATTATATTTAATAATAGGAATAAAGGGGCAATATGGTAAATCAATATTTTTTTATTTGACTTTAAAGCAATAATTACATATTGAGTTGGTTTGGGAAATGAGTTGGTTTTTTGATTTTTTGACTATTTTAGCCTGTGGTTAAAAAGTCTCATTTGAGATGGATTTTTTGGTTTTTTTAACTTTTGTGAGAAAAAGAATGTAATAATTATGGGTTGGATGTGATATTTTGTCTTAATAGACTAAAAAACCTATTTCATCTTTTTGTTACTAAAATAGCCTCAAACCTAACCTAACCTAACCTGCCAAACGAAAGCATTCTCTTACAAAGTTGGAATTCTCAAAAACAGATCCACATTGTGGGATGGAAGGAGTAACTATTATGTGAACTACAACTTAAGGGAGCTCAATGTAATGTCAAAATTATAGAATTTATTATATTTTCTCCAAATCTCAGAAAAAGACAGTGTAATTTACCCTTTATTTAAAACTCATCTATAATTAAGTCTCGCAATTGAGTCTACATAATTAAATGAAAAATGATATACAAGTCTATTATTTAGATTCATTTTCTGGACTCAATGATATATAAGTGAGATGATTAGTTGATAATTAGAAAAAATATAAGAGAGAGAGAGAGAGAGAGAGAGAGAGAGAGAGAAATAGAAATAGCACATGCGAGTGATTGGTCGATTGATCATTGGACTTAAAGAGTGAATTTAATTTTTAGGTTTGAATAACAATACTCTAATTAAATTTGTGATCAAATAAAATTGACAAAAATTATATGATTCTATGCTTTTGTAAATTACATAAATCTCCTTTCAATATAAACCATTCAATGATGTTATTTACAAGGGTTTAGTATAACAAGGATAAAGATCAACGAATATGGTTAGTATAGATTTTAACAAAATTTTTAGTTAGAGGTTGATTGTAAGGTTAAAAATTGTACGAATAGTTGGGGAAAAGAAAACACAAAAGTGTGGCTGGAGAGAGAACTAGAAACGGGAGTTGAAATTGGTTAACAAGAAGAATGAAAAGATTTAGAGGTAGAGCTTGATGTGGGTTTGAAAGGATATCATTTGGGATAACTCGCAAAAATGGATCAATGCTACTCTCCCCACACAAAATAATAATAATAATAATTACTATTATTTCATTTTTTAATTTGTTTTCAATTTTAAATGAATTTATTATATAATTGTACATTAAAAATTTTAATTGTTATGTTTTTCGAGAAAAATTAATATAAAAGTATACATATTTATCATTTATGCTAAATATATTTTTTATAATTCATTCAATTATTTTGCTCTAAAATGTTACTAATCCAGATAATGACATATATGTTTATTAATTAAAAATTAAAATAAAATATTAAAAATAATATAATTAAAATTAAACTTTAGTGCAATTTAAATGAAAACGACTTATTTATATAATTTAAACTTTTTTTAAAAAAAATTTAAATTATTATTTTAATTATTTATCTAAAGTTGTGCATAGTACGGATTTTATGCAAGTCTAAAGATAAATTATGGATAACTATGGTTTTTTTTTTTTTTTTTTGAGAAGAAAATCTATATTTCAAAATTGATAAAATATCAAATCAATTTGATATATCGATATTACAAGATCTCAAAAAGCTATATACGCTTTATAAAAAAAAAAAAAAGAATTCAAGTCTCCATAGAGGAGCAAAAAAGGCCCTCACAAGGGAGGAAAATAAATCTTCTCAAAAAAAGGATTATTGCATCAATAAATTAAAATTTTGAAAAAATAAACATAAAAAAATCAGATCCAAGTCGTCACCAAATTTATCTAAAACTCTACTGCTTCGCAACCTTCAACTTGAAATTTAAAAACCCCACATCCACTAGTCAAGATAGATGATAGAACATTGAACTTGAGGTAATTACCTAATGTGAAATAAACGCGTTATCTAACATCGATTTTCGAACAGTGAGAAGATCTAAAGACAAATCTTAAAGTTTTGAACTCGAAAGTGGAGAAAGTAAAGCGATGATGGTGAGATTGTTGAGGCAAGCATCAAATCTGGAGGAGAATCAGAAAGAGGGAGAGGAGATAGAGATTAGAGAAGTCGGAGAATCATCGCCGCCTTCCCCCCTCCTTGGAAAAAAAATTAGAAAGAAAAGAAAGTGAGTTTTAGGGGGAATTATCTTATCCTTCTAATTTTATTGATTACTTTTTGTAATATAGGAGAAAAATAAAAAATAATAAGGCCTCATTTGGGGACAACATATTTTAGTCAAAAAGTTAAAAAGTCACTATAAGTTATCACATCACTCTCTTTACTTTTCAAGACATTTTTTCGTAAAAAGTCAAAAAGTTACTAAAATAATTTGTTCCCAAACGAGGCTTAAGAATATAATCAATAGAATTGTAAGGATGTAAGATATGGGGCAGAATTATGTGATAATTTTTTAGAGTACAAAATATTATAGGTAAAATTATGAAATTTATTTAAATAGTAGGTTTTAACTTTTTTTATTTTCTTTTAGGATAAATTATAAATACGCCTCCTGATGTTTGCTTAAAATACGAATTACCTTTTATGGTTTGGAAAATTATAAATACCTCATTGTCAGAATTTTTTATTTAATAGAATTAAATGAAAAAATAAAATTTCTAACTGTTTATCCATACAACAATAAAATTATTTGAATTATTAATTGAAATAAAATTTTAACATTATTAAAAATCATTAATTAACTTGACGATTTATTAATAAAAAGACTTACTTATTATGAAATTAGAAACTTTAAAAGCATAGCATAATTTCTAAAACTATAAAGAATAATTTATAATTTAGTAAACTTTGGGAGTGTGTTTGTAATTTGTTCTTTCTTTTATTAACAAAATCGTGATGATTGGTTTTTTTCGAGTGGTTGAGATTTATTGAAACAAGACCCGGCGGTGGGTTCAATTAACCTGGACTCATCTTTAACATGTACTTTCGTTTTTGTTACATCTACATAGAGCGGTCACATCGCAAGGAGAAAGATACTGCGCGAGCGAGCGAGAGAGTTTTAGAGAGCGAAGATCATAGACATGGGGTCGCCATGCAAGGTAATCTTTAAGCATCTTTTTATTTCAACTTTGAATTTGGATTTTTTTGTTTTTTTTTGGGGGGGTTTCTGCTGTGTATGTCTGTTGTGTGTATTGATTTGTGTTTGATGATTGTTAGTTTAATTGATTTTGTGAGCTTGTAGAAATATTTAGACTGTCTGGTATTTGTGATTTTATTTCAATTTTGTACATATATAAATATTAATCAATTGAATGGCCTGTTTGATCTCTGGTGGTCTATTTTGTTGTGCCCTAGTTTCCTCGACAAATTTTGATTTTCATGAGAGAGAGAGAGATAGAGAGAGGGAGAGAGAGTACTTTTAATTGTGTGATTTAGCTTTTGTTTTGTGTTTTTGACTTCCTAATTCATGGGAAATGAGGGGTTGGATTGGATCACTTGATCATGATTGTGCTTCGGTGGACTCAGTGTTTGTGACTTGGATAGGTTTGTATTAAAATTGATAAAACCATATTTAAAGATCGTCGGCTATGTCACAAGAAAGATTAAGTTGATTAGAGCATCTCCAATGGCAAATGGTATAATAGCATTGCCATCGCCAAATTATGGCAATGAATAATAGACTTCTGGTAGAATTATAGCAATGGTGCTCCAATGGCGGGCTATCATTTTTGCCATTTTGACACAGAAATTGGTGTGTGTGGGACGTCCTGCCAGACAACCAGCCCGACGCCCACACACTAGTGTTCAACTTTCATCTGCAAAATTGGTGGACGGGAGGAAGGGAGGGATGTTTTGCTGGGAAGGAGGGGGGAAGGGAGGGAGGGCTGCTGTTTTTGTGAGTTGACAATTATGGCAGCTGCCAAAGCTTGTGTCAAAATTTGACAGTTGCCATAGCTTGCCATTGGAGCAAGGTTTGGTCTTTCTGTCGCCAAATTTTGGCAATAATAGCTCCCATTGGAGATGCTCTTAGCCATAATATCAATTGAAAAGGATATGTTAGAAAAACTTGAATATAAAAACTGACTTAATAATTTTGCATCTCAAAAAGCAAGAAAATTAAATTTTAAATAAAAAAGTTAAAATATAAAAAAGGCCTCATTTAAAGTTGTACCTTAAGCCCCAAAATAGATTGAGCCGCCTCTGCATGCAAACCACTAGAGCTACAATTGAATTGTCATGGATGGAGTATGCATTGGGAGTTGACATATACATGGTCAAGAAATAAAAGACAGTAGACTATAGTGTAGGAATCATAATTTCGTTTGAAATTATCGTGTATGAAAGTAATATGTGTCTCAGTTGCACTTCCGCTTTTGAGAGTGAGGGAAAATACCACTCGAGCTATCTACAATCAAAGATTATCGACTGTTGGGTCGGCTACATGAATCCTTCGTGTTTAATTTTTTATACTAGGAAACATGGATCGGATACGGATACGAGATACAGATACCATACAATACAGATATGGCAATATGACAAAATCTAAAAAAATAGGATACCTGTACGGTTAGGATACGTTTGTGAAAAATATATTTTTTAAAATTATTAGTAGTTTACACATAAGTTAAAGAATGTTGAGAAATTACAATGTAATTTGTAATGCAAAATACTAATCTTTAAGAATTATGTATTAATTTAAGTTACTAGCTTGTTTACCTTTTAAATTTTCAATAGATCTTGCAAATATTTCATTTATATTTATATTACGATAATAGAACAATCCGCAACTTGTCTATGTGCTTTTCTCTTTGACACTAGTAAAAAAATATTGTATTTAAGTTTACTTGTTTGTTTATTTATTTATTGATATTTAATTTTAATATTGTTATATGCTTTTGTTAATCCTTACTTTCCATGTAGTTATTGGAGACTTGCATGAAACAATTAGGATATATCAATTTGACAAATTCTATTATTTAACTCACTATATTCTTCTCGTGAAAAACTAAACAAAGTATTAGAAAAATATTCTTATATTTATCCTTGCAACTATATTATATTATAATATTATGCAAGAAATGCTACAATTCTAATTTCGTGAAAAAAGTAATACATGACTTGGAGTATCCGATACTTCAAAATTAAGTATCCAATACTCCAAAATTAATTAAGAAGTATCTGATATTTTTAATAAGTATACAATACGTATTCGCGAGTATCCAACAAGTATCGGTATCTGATACGGATATGATATGTATACGTCACTCTATTTGAAGTATCTGTACTTCATAGCTTTTATACAACCGGTCCCAAACCCAAATAATGGAGGAGGGTTGTGTGTTAAGTATCTTGATAGTTAGCATGTAAAAATTTCCATCAAATCTTTTATGAACATAAATCTTATTATGAATATTACAGAAGTATGTCTCTAAAAATTATGTTTCGTATAGGATGATAGGGAGGAAGTCATACAGGCATGGTACATGGATGATAGTGACGAAGACCAGAGACTTCCCCATCACCGGGAACCCAAGGAATTTGTGTCCCTGGAACAACTTGCTGGTACACATCTTCAAATACAATATATTCTGGGGTTATCAAATCTGCAAAAGATTTTTTAAGTCAAACCTGATGAGCTATTGTTTTAACTTTGCAGAACTTGGAGTGCTCAGCTGGCGGTTAGACGCTGATAATTATGAAACAGATGAGAAATTGAAGAAAATTCGTGAAGAACGTGGATATTCTTACATGGTATTTTTATTTTTCTCTCTGATTTTTTATGGAGCAGCCAGTTCTTATCTTAATTTTCTTTCAATTTTTTTTTTTTTTTTTAACAGATCAATTTCTTTTCATTTTCCATGTTTTTTCGTTGAAATTCTAGTCACCCATTTGTTTTATATTTATTCTCTCTTTGAATCTTCTGATTACCTTTTCCTGCAGTTGCTTTGGTCTATCTCTCTTTCTCTCTCTCTCTCTCTATATATATATATATAAACTATGAAGAGAAAATCAAAAACTTCTTTGAAGAACATCTTCATACTGATGAAGAGATCCGCTACTGTGTGGCTGGAAGCGGTAAATTTAGTTGAGATTTGAATTGATTTTGTACGTCCTGTCTATCAAGTTGGGCCTTTTAATTTTTTACATTGTGGTGAAGGTTATTTTGATGTGAGGGATCGCAATGATGCTTGGATTCGTGTCTTGGTAAAGAAAGGTGGAATGATTGTCCTGCCTGCTGGAATTTATCATCGCTTTACACTCGATACAGACAATTATATAAAGGTAATTTCGTAACATATCAATAGCAATTTTACTGGATTATATGTACGCACATACAAAGCAGTAGTCCTCTTTTTCTCTCCTTAGAAATCAAATTGTTGCCAGCAGCGGATATTTGATGACATTCATTCGATTTTCATTCGATTTTCATGCTATATGAGTTTGGAAGATTCTCTTTTTGACCCGATCAGACGAAGCAAAATGAAATTTTGTCCATAAAATTGCAATATATATATGTTAACAATAATTACCCTCAATATTGAGTTAAAAGGACATTAATACCATCATCTTTGACTTGTTTGTTACTTTTGTAGGCCCTATCAGAGTTATAAGGTTTAAAAGTGAATAGAGTTGGTGATATACATTTGATCTAACACACCACTGTACTTTTCTATTAGTATTTTTTAATAATTGTATGTTCTTTTTCCATTTTTACCTGTGGTTCGCTGGCCTTCCATCATGACACGGGAGGTTCTTGCTGATTTCTCAAACCTCAACCTCAGGGAAGGTTGGTGCAATTTGCCCAATAAGAGGGAACATAATTATATATCCATAGAAAAGTATCTATTTCTATTTGTATTCCACATTGGTTATGTTCATACTTACGTGTGTATATATTATAAAATTTCATTTTCCTTGTCCCTGCATCTATCATTTCTAGATTTTGAGAAAATCTTTTGTTTTGGGTATCACATCAGTGGTACTGCAGTTGTTTTGCATCCTAACCCATGTTCATGCAACATGAAGTGTTAGTGGGCTATTTGATTAGTTTATAGACGGAAGACTATTTGACTTTGACCCCTAACTAGATGTTCATCTATTCATGTGTTCTACTTGCTAATGAGGAAATATCCGTTTAGCCCTTGGAACTGACCCTGTGAAGCTTAATCTTTATGGAAGACCAAAAATAGAGAATTTTTAAAGCAGTAGTTTCTTGTTATTGTTGGATAGTCCCTGAATTGTAGGGATGATTCAGTCCCAAAATTATAGGATTAGCGCCTGTTGATTTCTACGCCAATACGCCATAACTGAGTACTTGCTAGCTAGTAGCTACCCTAAAACTCTGAATCAGCTGCATTCATGTTTTCTGCTTTTAAGTCATTGCTGTTGGACTTCTTGACATATCATCCTTGCTCAAAGTGATGAACTAAACACCATTTGCAAAAGGCTGGCCATGTTTAAAAAATGATTATTGTCATCAAGAAAAACATATATTTGTCTCTGATGAAGTATATAATTGTGCAGGCAATGCGGCTTTTTATTGGTGATCCTATTTGGACTCCTTTCAACCGGCCTCATGATCACCTACCTGCTAGGTAGGTTTTGACCTTTATTCTTTTTCATTTTTGGATAATTCTAGATTTTGGAGCCAGCCTCTAATCTAAATAAAATTTGGTTTGTTATTTGCAGAAAGGAGTATGTTGAGAACTTTGTGCACAAGGAAGCTGCCAATCATGCTGTTAATACTGCTGCAGCTTGAAATCTGTTTTTTCGGCTTTTAAACGTTTGGAACTATTCCATGACTTCTTATAAAAAAGTGGAAAATGAAAAATATAGAGACTGTTGTGGCTCTATTATACATATCTTTTACCTGTGGTCTGGTATGCTTGTGTGACTTGCTATTATAGAATAAGTTCATGGAATGCAAGTTATAGACTTAGGCCCCGTTTGGGGACTTACCTTTTTAGCCAAAAAGTTACCTTTTTAGCCAAAAAGCCAACAACTCATACTAAAAAGTCGAAGATTCTCTTTTCTCTCTACTTTTTGCACATCTTTTCGTAATTAGCCAAAAAGTCATCCCAAATATATAAGTTTTTTTTATCTACTTTTTTAGCCAAATAGCCAAAAAGTTACTAAATTAGACTGTTCCCAAACGAGGCCTTAATAGTCCTATATATGAAAGGCATATTATGTAAATCTGATTACATGAGATTGTAGAGGTATGTACTTATATCATGGCTTATGAAAGGCATATTATGTAATCCGGTTACATTATTTAGATGTTTTTTAAAAAATTTGTTAATGGCTGGCATTAGAGCACACATTGAGTACATTTTGTATGAAAATGTGTAATAAAAATTATACAATTACTTTAAATTTCTTAACATGTGTCTTTAGCCAGCACATGCCCCCTTTGAAATTGCACTTTTTATCTTTGCCCCATAAGAACTCATCTCATCTTAAGACTAGGCAAACATTAGTTGACAGCCCAACCTCACCTCAAATGGGCGGTTTTGATGCAATGGACAAATGGATGTGGGTCGTCGGGTTTTGCTTGAGTGACGAATATACAAATTTCAATCCTTCAAATCTCGCCGGATCTGCTGCCTCCATACACCGACCTCCTCGGTTTTGGCTTACAGGAGTTTGAGCACAAGCCCATGGTGGAAGTGTGCTTACCTGCTGGTTTGAAGTTGAGTTTTGTTCCTTTTTAAGTTTTGTTTTTTGGTTTGGTTTTGCCTATAGAATCCATGTTGCTTTGTGGTTGTATTCTATGATCTATTCTCGGCATGTTCTACGGCCATTTGTTGGCTTCTGCTTGCAGTACGAGCACAGGCACTTGGTGTGCAGTTGGGTATTCTTCATAGTTTAACTCCTGTGTTTTTTTTTGTTTCTTGTCTTTCTTTTGATGGTGCAAGTGATTTTTTGAATGGATTCCTCTCCTTGCAAGTGTCGTTTGGCTTCTTTAATGGATATTCCTCTTCTGATAAAAAAAATAAGAAAATAAAAAAATAAAAAAAATTCTAACTTGATTGCATGGAATTAGGAGCACTCACTCCACTTCGTTGTTTAATTCAAAATTTAATTTTTCTTTTAATAATGTAAAATTAAGATTTGTTCAATCTACCTGATCTACATTCACCTTTCAATTTAGGGTGAATTACACTAACGGTCTCTATAATTTGGAGCTTGTGTTACTTTAGTTCATAACTTTTCAATTATGACATATTTGACCATGAATTTTAAATTTTGTTCCAAATAAAGATAATTGAAGATATTATTGCTTAATTTAAAGGGCAAAATTGTCAATTTGATAAAATATAAACTAATTTGACAAAAATAAATGTCAAAAAAATATTTTTGAATTTTTAAAAATTATTTCTACCAGCTAAAGATAAAATTATGTAAAGTTGATGAACCTTTTAGACATTTATTTATTTATACTTTTACCAAATTAATTTTTATTATGTGTTTGAATTATGATATGTAATGAATGGTTATTTTTATTTTGATTAAATTAGTTTCTATTTTTCTAAAGTTCAAATATGTCGATAATTTTGATATCATTATTAAATCAATCCATTAAATAAAAAATTCAAAACTAAAAACATTTCATATATCAAATATATAAATTACACTTTAAAATCCTAACAACCACCTAATACATGATTATCATCCAAAAACATAATAAAAATTAATTTGATAAAAATAAATAAATAAATGTTTAAAAGATTTGTCAATTTTACAAAATTTTATCTTGGGTAGAAATAATTTTTAAAAATTAAAAAATATTGTTTTCAATATTTATTTTTGTCAAATTAGTTTATATTTATCAAATTGACAATTTTGCTCTTGAAATTAAGCAATATTATTTTCAATTATTCTTATTTGAAACAAGATTCAAAATTCAAGGTCACAATTGAAAAGTCAATGACCAAAGTAACACGAGTCACAAACTATAAAGACTGCTGGTGTAATTTGCCCTTCAATCTATCTAACCTGCGATCTTGAAACCATAGATGAGATCGGTTGTGAATGGAATTTTTTCAATCCTAACTCCATTTGATCGGGTGGCCCTCTTAAAAGCCTTCATGTTCACGTCATGTGTTATAAGGAGTTAATAGATGCAACTCAAAATGGTCCCCGCCAACACTCATCTGCATTGTAAGCAATTGTTCTCTCTCTAACATTCAATCTAATTTATTAAATTCATTTAATTTTTATTTTAATTTTTAATGATGTTCTTTTCTGACAGATAATGGTAATGTGGTCATATTTGATTACTGTATTTGAGTCCTATTTAATTTGATTTTTTACGGACACTAATTATACGTATTATGGCTTCGTTTGGCATTAAACGTTTGGGTTAAAATAGCTACAAAAAGACAAAATAAGCTAAAAAATCAATAAGACAAAAAATTATATCCAAATCGTAATTTTTTTTTTTGGTGAATAAGTAATTATTTTATTTTTTCTCTCACAAAAATAAAAAAAGTCAAAAAGTCTATCCCAAAGGAGACTTTTTAGCTCTAGGCTAAAATAACCAAAAAATTAAAAAGTCAACTCACATTCCAAATGAAGGTTACATAAACCTTATGAAATGATATGCTTAATATTCTACATAAATAGTAGTCAAATGTAATCACTCTAACAAAGCTCTTTTCTAATATGATTTGTAGTGTGATTGATTAGTTTATAGTTTCTTTTTTTTTTTTTTTGGGGGGGTTGTGTATTTGGAAGTGTATGAGTAGTTATTCTTGTATAATTTATGAAATGTTGTCCCCCCAAAGCCTAACCCTAACCCTTCCATCTAAATGTTGACTATGCCAAATAAAAATTTAATCCTTCCATCTAAATGTTGACTATGCCAAATAAAAAATATTAACTTTGTCATTTGCCATTAACCCACACATTAATAAGACACCATTTTAAGTTTTATGATATTTTTTAAAACTTGGTACATCCACTTCTACATCATTCATTTGTTCCATTTTTTATTCTATTGGTGAGTGGTGATCTAAAGATAGGAATTATTGAGAAAGCGGCATGAAGGTTTACCAATTAATATAAGCATTAGATTATAATATTGGAATAAAACTATACATACAAATTTTATGCTCATAAAGTAATGCACATATTGTTCTTTCCTTAAAAAAAAAAAAAATTAAACAAAAAATGTAATGCTCATATTGAATTTATGAAATGTTGTCCCCCCTAATCCTTCCATCTAAATGTTGACTTTGCCAAATGAATGAAAATATTGACCTTGTCATTTGACATTAACCCACACGTTAATATGACACAATTTTAAGTTTTTTTTGATATTTTTTAAAACTTAAGTTAAGTTTGGCAAGTTGAAAAAAAATCAAAAAGTCAAAAAGTTATTCAAAAAGTTAAAAAACTATCACTATTCACCAAAAGTCAAAAATTACTGTTGTACAACTCTCAATCCTAATTTTCCTCTATACACTAGTTTATATAATTTCTTAATACACATTTTTTTCATAAAAAGTCAAAAAGTTAACCAAACAACCATATTTTTTTCCTCAATTAATTAGTCCAAAAAGTGAAAAAGTATACTTATTTGGGATATCTCAAACAACCCCAAAGTACATCCTCTTCTCCATCATTCATTTGTTCCATTTTCGGTTTTATTGGTGAGTGTGGATCTAAAAATGGGGGTTATTGAGAAGCGGCATGAAAGGTGACCAATTAATGTAAGCATCAAATTATAATATTGGAAAGATACAGATTTTATGCTCATAAAGTAATGCTCAATTGTTCTTTACTCCCAAAAAAAAAAAAAAAGAAAAAAAGAAAAAAAGGAAAAGGTAATGCTCACATTGAATTTAATGTCTAGTGTGATGTGAGTCACATTTAAAATAAATTTAGGTTATACACTCTACTTTTTGTGCACTTTTCTATGCCCTTTTTTTTAATCTTTATCTAATGTAAATAAAATTGTTATACATAAACTTTGTACAAAATGATATGTCTTATTTTGTTCGTTCATTCATTGAAAGTCAAAAAAAAGTCATCACTATTGTTATACAAGTCAACAAAATTTTCTCATTTACTAATGTAACAACTATTATGTTATTAAAATAGATTTATTTAGTTTCTAAATTTTACTATCACATGACACATTAGTTATTAAGAATTTTTTTTAAAATTTATTAGTTTGTATAACATTTTTTATTTCCAAAATACCATTACAAATTTGTATAACTGATTGTTTTGAATTAGTTTTTGGTACAAAATTTCTAATGTGTTTGGCATTTTTCATCCAAATATGCCATTGCATGTAAGGGCTAAAATATGCAAAATTCGGCCCACCACACTTTTTCAATCTTTCTTCTTTTTTTCTTTATTTTTTCCTTCATTAATCTCTTGTTTGTATCAAAATTAAAATAATAAGTCAAACAGTCATACAATGAAAATAAAAAAATTATTTCTATTCTCTCTACTTTTTGTATATTTTTTCGAAAAAAAATTAAAAACTCATTTCAAAGCATGCCAGTTTTTCACCTAATTTTTATACAAAAAATCAAAAAAATTATTATAAAAATCACCTTCCAAATGAATCTTAAATTAATTATAATATATGAATTATTGTGTGATGAGACAACCAAAAGTTTCTTAGGGTCCGTTTGGGAAGAGTTTTTCAGGCTTTTTTAGCTATTTTAGCCACAAAAGACAAAATAGGCTATTTTAGCCACAAAAAACAAAACATCACATCCAACCCATAATCATTACACTCTTCTCTCACAGAAAAAGTCAAAAAACCCAAAAAGCCCAAAAAGCCAAAAAACCCTTCCCAAACCAAGCTTTTTAGCCCAGGCTAAAATAGCCAAAAAAGTCAAAAAGTTAAAAAACCAACCCACTTCCCAAACGGAGGCTTAGTAATGGAAAAGGCTCTCTCACTTTGGGCACAAGCAAATCCTAATCCAAAACTAGAATATTATGTTGGAAGGCAAAACCATGTCCTTTGTCCATTAACTTTGTATGTAGAAAATTTAAAGTTGGCACTATGCTTGGATGCAAAGGTTCCAACTACCAAACAACTCATAAAATGGGCAACTTTGTTTACATCAAAATTAATTTAATTTGCCAACCGACAAATACATCATCATCATCATCATTTATCAAAATGCATTTCTGTTTTTCCTTTCAGATAAAGCACTCTATCAATTTTTTTTATTGACAAAAAAGTTCAAAAATAATATATTATTTTAAATTTTAAAAAATAAAATAAAATAGTCCTTGACTAGCAAAGATGGAGCATGCTATAATAGTCGTTAAGTAACAAAAGATGGGCTATTTCCTCATATTTCCATTGTGGTCCCAGTTTTTTTTTTTTTTTCAAGACTTTAATGACCTTTTTTTTAAAAAAAAAATGTCTAGATTCCCCTAAAATTTTAAAAAGTTGGATCAAATTTGAAAAACATTCACTAAACACAAGGTGATTTTATTGAAAAATATTTTTGTCTTTACGTTGTGTTTGGTTGAGAGATTTGGAAGATATTTGAAAAGAAAAAATAAAAATATAGGTGAAATGTGAATAAAATATACATATATTTCATCTAATTTTACACACATTTTTCCTTTCTTTTTTCAAATCTCTTTTCAAATTTTCCAACCATATACAGCGTTAATGATTTTCCTTTTATATTTAAAATCTAGCATTCTAAAAAATTTCTTAGTTTACAATTTTTCAAAATTACATTTTATTTAAGTATTCATTATCATTTATAGAGAGTAGATTTTGTCTAAACACACTTGTTAATAAGTTTAAAATTTGTATGATAAAGCACATATAATTTTAATTAATGCATTTTAAATACTCACTAACTAATAATCATTAAAAATCGATATATTAATATATTAAAAATTTTGTATATAATAAATAATATTTTTAAAGATCCTCCTAATGAATATTTTAATGGCACTGGTTTAAAAAAAAATTAAAATTAAAACAACTATATATCCATTACCACATGTATTATCATAAAAACTTATAATACTCTGAAAAATCACGTAATTATATGTATCTATTTATGGCATTGTGATTTGTTTATCATATTTTTTTTTATTGTTCAAACAATGTAAACATTTTAGATTTTATTATTAAGTGAGCACACAATTAATATAGTAATATATTTATGGGTTAGTTTGTCTCCGAGTGAATTCAATTGTGATGTTTAAGTTCATGGAACTTACAATAGGTCATATTTCAATAATTTAAATTGTTTATTTTTTAAACTACAACATGTAAATTATTCTTTAAAAAGTAAGTCGATTTGATAATCATAGTCATATTAATTTATGACATTTATTTGTAAAAAAACGAATAACAAATATTTTACGGAAACTATACTTGATTTTTTGAGAGACAAATGACTAACATAGTTATGATTATCGAATTATTTTTTTAATGAATAATCTACATATTATGATTCAAAAATCGAACAGTTTAGATTTTTATATTGATATGTCTTATGAGTCTCACAAATTCAAACAATTCAATCCAATGATGGAAGACAAGTTTTTTTTTTTGAGTAATACTAGAGATTCGTTATCAACATTTCTATTAAATATTTTATATGAGTGTAGAGCTTACACATGACATTTAATACTTTTAATAAAAATTTTAATTTTTAAGATATATAATAATTTTTTATTTTTTTTCTTGACAAAATAATTATGCCCAATAGAGTCAGCAAAAAAAAAAATTGGCATTTGCATTTTAAAATTAGGTCTCACGTTTTGTGGACGTGGGGCCAATCAAATCCAAAGTTCAGTAATAAAAGACTCATGAATATCCCAAGTCAATGGTAATGAAACCTGTGGCACAGAATAGTACAATAGCTCGCCATGCACGAGATCATTACCAAAGGTCATATCCCAGCCACGTACACTTTGCAGCGCGTGTAAAACAACTTCAATTTTCAGACGTTGATTTAGGACCCATTTGAAATTTAAGTGTCGGTTGACACGTAAGACATCTGTCTCGGATGGCGAGTGATTTAACGCCGCATTAGTAGCGAGTGGGTCTTGTAGTCATCAATGAGAATTGAACAAAAGCAGTAGACTTTGCCACGTGGCCTCACCGACGATGAAACAAACCAAAGCCGCTGTTGCTGTCGCTGATGACTATAAAACCGCAATTAATAGTGAAACTCTACCTAATAATTTTTTGAATTGCCTATTATACCCTTTAGTTTTTATACTAGTTCTAGCGGTGGTAGTTCAATCTACAAAATTTAGAACAAATTATAGGTAAACTACCAATAAGTTTTAATAATTAGGTTTAATTTTTATAAAATTTTATTAAAAATAGATATAGTAAAATCGTCGTTAAAAATAATTTTTTGTGATGATTTTTTACATATATCGCTAAAAATTGACAATTAATAATTTTTTTATCATGATTTTTATAAATTGTCACTAAAATTTAGAATTAATGATGATTTTCTGTGACAAATTTTTTAAACTGTTATTGAAAGTTGAAAATTAGTGATATTTTTTGTGTCAAAAATTTCAAACTATCGTTGAAAATTGGTGACTTTTTAAATAGAATTTGATGAAAAACGCAATTAATTATCATAAGACATATTGGATAATAAGTTCACCTGCTATGATCTGCACGTTAGTCCTCCTAAATTATAAATACACCTTCTCTAAAATTTGCATCAAATATAAATTGTCCTTGTATTTGTGAAAACTATATTCTTTCTTTTTAAATTTTTAATCACATAAAAAATGATTCATTTTATAACTAAATTATCAAATCAATTAACAATTTTTAATGATGTTATAAATATATTTCAATTAATAATTCTGATAATTTTATTATTGCATAAGAGAGTATTTATTATTTTATTCTTGTTAATTTTGTTAAATAATTTGTTTGACAATATGATATTTTGTAATTTTGAAATTTACAAAATGACAATCTGTATTTTAAGTAAATCTTAAGAAATGTATTTGTAATTACCCTAAAATTTATCTTTAGTTTAGTTTTTAAAATCTGTTTTTATTTTCTAAAAAATAAAAATTATCTTAGTAAAAAAAAAAAATTTAATATTATGTTTTTTTGGAGTGAACATAATTTTTTAAATTTTAGTTTTATTATGTTCATTTTTTTGCATCCATTTCTTATTTTATATTTTTAAAACAAATTTTTTTCCTAACATTATTTTTCGAAAGTACTAATAATTATTTTTTGCATTTAAAAGACGCAAAGCTTTTGAATTTTATATTGTTCAATTTTTTTTTTAAAATGCAAAACACATGTTTACTGTTTTTAAAAAGAAAGAGTGAAAAAGAAAAAAAAAATCTCTTGCGTTCATTTTTTTTTTTTGGTGGCACCTTGGTTCTCAAAAGCAAAATGAAAAAAAGACACAAAAAATAAAAAAGAAAAAAAGAAAAGAAAAGAAAATTGTATAAATCATTTATAAAAGCAATTTTGCTAGATGCACAAGAATGTACATACAAAAATTAATGGGTTAATAAAATCTATCTATTTATCCACTTATATATATCTTTCTATCTATCTATTTATACTATTATATATATGAGCATTGGACTTTTTGTCAAAGTGTTTGGTGGTTTCTCTTTCTATGACATGATAAATTTTTTTATTGTAAAATAAAAAATTATTGTTCAAAAGTATGAGTAAAATTTGAACTCAAGACCTTAGATTTCGTTAAGAATACTATTGCCACTTAGATAAGATACTTATTATGACACTAATTTGTTTATTATTTGTATTTATTTTTATTTATTTAAATTGCACACGCATCGTATTTGCCACTTATTAATTATTTTTAAGTGAAAGCTGAACTTGGTGTCCAAACCTTCTTCTCATGCCATGTGACAAAATAAAAAATTATTTTAGGAAGGCATGAATAAGGTTTGAATCCAAGATCTTGGATTTTTTTAAGAACACTTTTACTATTTAAACAACATATATATTATGGAACTAATTTCTTTATATTTATTTGTATTCTTATTTATCTGAATTGCATTGGGTGAAGATCACATTAAATAAATTTAGATCACAAATTAATTATTTTATATGATTTTTTTTTCTATGTGTTAGTAACTATTATTATTGTCTTATGGTTTTGTTTAGTTTCAATTTTAAAACCAGTTTTTTGAATTTTTTTTACCAAAACAAAATTTAATTTAACAAAAATAAATAACAAAAAAATTATTTCTAAAACTAAAAAAATTATTTTTTGTCCCTGAAAGATGTAAAACTATATGAAAATGATAAGTATTTTGATTTATTATTTTTAATTAAAAAAATTCAGAAAAACATATTTTAAAAACAAACCAAACAGGGTCTAATGTTCTCTAACCAAAGGGCATTATTGCCAATTCAATGAACAAACTGAGTGTCTTCCCACAAAATCTATTTTTCGCAAGTTTAATGACGCACCATCATCCTGAACCAAAAACGTTGAGAAATCAACCCCTTGGTTTCAGTATCTCTTTCTCTTTCTCAAGTCTTCAAACCAAGCGTCCTCTCTCTCTCTCTCTCTCTACACTTTCTCTCTCTTCCTGGCTTCGCCATCTCCAAGAATCGAACAATCACGGTTTGAACCTCTCCGCCTCCGCCACACAGATCCACAGAGCTCCGATCTCAGTCTCAATTGCCTCGTTTTCGGAATGCCATTGTTGTTGATCGCTTGAGTGTTGAATTGTTGCCTTGAATTTGACTCTGATTGTGGAGAGAAAGAGAGAGAGTCTGAGTTTCACAGGTTTTTGATGGGAGCCGTGCCTTCAACGCCGCGCTGGGGCAGTGCTGCGCGGCCTCAAGACACGGCGGAGTACCTAATCGGAACGTTCGTCGGCGAAAAATCGTTCCCTCTCGCCTCCGATTACTGGCAGAAATTGCTCGAGCTTCCTCTCGACCTCGACTGGCCTGCTCACCGTGTTCGTCAAGCCTGCGAGGTTTTTGGTCAGTATTTACTTCATTATCAGTCTTGCGTTCTTAGTCTCATTCATTTGATTGCTTAATTATTGTTATATAATGAATTACTCGGTTGATTATAGCTGCAAGGGTTTTGGAACTTATATGTAGTTCCTCATTTGATAAGTTTCGTTGTTAATTGGAGACAAATTATCGTTTTTGTTGTCTAGCCTCACAATTTTGGGGTAAATGCTGTACGTAATGTATAACAGTGCTTGATATATTGTAGGACTCACCGTCTTGTTGTATGACAAGCTTGTCGGTGGTATGTGTAAAATTCTATCGGTTGATATAATTTCTATCTTAATTTTGAGAGATCTGTTAGGCTAAATAGAAATAGAAACTAGAATACTTGGATCATTTCTTGAGATACATATAAGGCTTATTTATTTATTTTTATTTTTTTAATAACTGGGTCTCTGGATTAGCATACGTTCTCCTTGACTAATCCTTCGAGGGGCCCTGAAGTTAGCGACGGAGTAAACTTGCTGTGGCCCCAAGGTTTGGGATGTTTGGCTTTTGTGGGATTCGACCTGCGACCTCTTGGGTGGTAAGCTTTTGATTGCCTTGCCTCTCCTCCTACTTAGCCAAATCCTCTGGGGTTATACATATGAGGCTTATAAGAGTTGGTTATATTCTTCACCAGAATTTATTTATGCAATTTTTATTTCAATTTTATACATTACATAGGTATGGTAATTCTTTTTAGGTAACAAACAATGCTGTTTGGATAGATTTGTAGTTTTTAAGTAGACAATCAGTTTGTTTACCTGTTATATTGTCTGAGGACATTTGATCACAGGCATGGTTTTTATTTGTGAAAATGTAAGGATCAAGGTTTCCATGAACCGTCTCCGCCACTTTAACAACCTCTGATGACTTCACGTGTCCCATGCTTGTAGCCATGCTTTGTTTTCCCACCATAACAGCGCAAATAATCTTTTATGAAGGTTGATATCTCAAAAAGATGGGCAAATGATTGAAATTATTCACATGAACAACATTTTTTCATTAATCACCCCTGAGATTTCTCCCATAGCCTGTCTTTATGATTGCTATATCAATTGGTGTTTTACTTGCTGTCTCATCTCAAAGTGCATTGGCCCTTTCAAGTTTAGAACTATGTCGTACGTAACCTTGAAATGTGCCCCGGGTAATTTGTCATGTTCTGCAGGTCATTTTCACACTGTTGAAATTCTCCATCAAATGCTTTTTGAGTGACCTAAAGAGATGTGACTTTTGTAATGGTGGCCCATACATACTACCATATACAATACAATCACTCATGAAGTCCGAAGCTTATGAGACAGCATTTGTATTAATAATTTTTTGTTTTTTTTGTGGCATTTTGTCACATGTAGCATTGTTTCAAGGTTACAATATATATATATATATTCTTCTTTTTGCATCTTTCTTATGTCTTGTAAGGTTACAATATATATATATATATTCTTCTTTTTGCATCTTTCTTATGTCTTGTAAGGTTACAAACAATCCTACATAATATTATTCATATGAAACATGCATGAGATATATCATATACATCCAATGCATGAATTTTTATGAAGTTTCCAAAACCAGTTTTTTATTTTATTTTTATTTTTTAAACTATGTTTATATTGTGTAAGAAAGGCTTAGTAGACGTTTTTTTGTGGCTCTCTTATGACTTCGTGAAAAAAAAAAAAAATTCTTTCTTGGGATTTGAAACCATTTGTAAAGTCATTTGCATTGGAAGGGTGTAATTGTTAATTTATCATTCTTCATTTACACACTAACAATTTGACAACTATGTTACTGGACAGTATTTATTGTGTTTCAGATGTGTGGTGGTGGAATAAATTTTGTGTTCTGAAAGTATTTCATTCCTCCAATCTTTTTGCTTGATAATGTTGCTAGTATTATTTTCCTCTTTTTTAATTAAAAAAAAATTCTCACCTTGTGCAGCACAGAACAACTATTACACAAGGCACCTTGCAAAGATATTGATTCACCTTGCGTGGTGTTTGCAAGAGTGTGCTTCTACTTCTGGTGCGCTGCCATCTGCTTTTATGAAGGCTTTTAATGCAACATACATCTCATCTGTATTCCTGAAGCATTTAATTGAAAATGCCAAAAGCGACACTTTTGAAGAATTATACCTGTCCATAGGCGAGAGTGAAGCAGTACCGAATAATTCCTTGCGAGGTGAATCACTTGGAGCTTATTATGTAATGTTAATATTTTCAGTGAGTTCATTTTCGTCTCCTTGCTTATGTGTGTGCGTGTATTTATTATTGCTAAAGGTTGAGCAAGTTTATCAGTTTGCTTAGCCAGATTGTCTTTGTTAAGAGCTTGATGGAAGAAGGTGATGGTTTTGGTGCATAATTTTCAAGGAATAGCAAGCTCTACTAGTTCCTTGTTGCTACTGTTTGAGAAATAAAGGATTACTTGAGTTCAATGGTCAATCCTCCCATTCATATACCTTAGCTTAGCCCAATGAACTTAATTGTATACAACCCTTTTTAATCATGTTTTAAGCTTAGGAAAAGCAAGGATGATTGTTACACCATTTCTCCTCATGCTTCATGGTGTTACTTTTATTTGTCGGCTTCCCTGGGGCTTGCTTGGTATTGCCTTCAAAACCAAGTTTCTGGAAACAGTTTTTTGTGGAAACAGAAATGATAGCATCCACGAAAGGTTTTTTTTTAAAATTTTTTTTTTTATGTCTTGCTAATGATAGCCCTAAAGGCTGTCAATAAGGAACACAATGACAAAATATTTATATCAATCCACTTTTCACATATTCCAAAACACATTTATATTTTTATACATTTTTTACACATTTTCCAACACTAAACCCTTGTTTGGCAAGTGGCTTTTTTTAGCAAAAAAGTCAAAAAGTCACTAAAAAAAAAAACCAAAAACCCAACAATCCATACAAAAAAATCAAAGATTCCCTTTTCTCTCTACTTTTTGTACATTTTTTCGTAAAAAGTCAAAAAGTCATCCCAAATATAGCTTGCTTGGTTGTGTTTTTCCAAAAATATTTTTCAGAAAATTCTACTTTCTTGTTTTCCGTATTTTTTTGTTTTTATTGAATTTTTTTAATATTTTAAGCAATTTTTTTTTACTTTTTAGACATACCTAACATAAATATACAAAAAAAGTAAAAAATTTGTGAAAAAAACCTTTTAAAAATTCACTAAATACCAAAAATACAAAAAAAATACGAGAATTCAGTACATTTTTTGTATTTTTATGTATTTATTAAAATTTTAAAATATTTTTTCACAAATTTTTTACTTTTTAGATACATCGAAGTAAAGTGCATCTAAAAAGGTAAAAAAAATGTTTGAAATTAAAAAATATTCACTAAAAACAAAAAAATACGAAAACCAAAAAACTGAGTTTTCAAAAAACAAAAAATATTCACTAAAAACAAAAAAATACGAAAACCAAAAAACTGAGTTTTCAAAAAACTTAATCCAAAAAACTCAAACCAAATAGACCGATTAATTTTTTTTACATCACATTTTAGCCAAAAAGCTAAAAAGTTACTAAAAAAGCCTGTTCTGAAACGAGACCTAATAACAGCCCTTAGGGCTATTTTTATCATTTTTTTTATATAGAAATTTTAGATCTTAAAATCACCTGGGGACTTTTTCTTTGTCATTTTAGCCTTTGCTAGTTTGATAGACAGAAAGTTTGCAAAAGTAAAGAAGCTCTTAAAGTTTGCATTGACTTCTGTATAGAGATAGACCTAATTTTTTCTATGCTGGTTGAAGTTGAAGGGAGCTAATAACTAAAAAAAATAAAAACTGGTGTACATATGAAAATTTTACCTTTAATGAACTTTGGTTCTAAAGTGGATTTAAATTTAATAGATTTATAAAGAAATCTCGAGGCTTACTTTGAATTGTCAACTGTAGTTTCATAACGGATTTCAGTTGTTAAAATGCTCTTAATATTTGACATCAACCTGATTTGTTCATTTTTCACCTTCTCGGTATTTGAGCTGTCTTTTTGAGAGATATGTTATATTTTCTTGCAATCTCAATTTTCTAGTGTGTTCTTGTGTATGTTTGATATTTTTTTCCCACCCTTTTAAGAGACTCTGGGTTTTTCACTGCAGATCAGAACATTGCAAATCTTGTTATCCATAGTTTGCTTAGCTTTATTGGAAAAGTAGATGTAAGGTATGTTATAGTTTGTCCGCTTTGTTTATAACTGCTGCAATATATATATATTTACTTTGCTAATTTTACTTCATTTCCTTATAAATTATTGGCAAGTCCCAACACGTATCTCCTACACCACGAAGTGCTCAACTTTATGCTCGTTGCGATGTCAACTCAGCTTGTTTCTGGTCCATCACCTGGACCGAAGGATATTCATCCATTCATTGATGTGGCAATGGTTCAGGTGACAAGAACTTTTGACTTTTTTAGCTGATCCAAAATCTGAAGATCTCTTAAAATAATTGCTGGTGTGCCAAATTGCTATTACATTTGCAGGAAAGCTCTTTGGTTGGGTTGGTTGTTCACAAACTGCTACTTAATTACATCTCACAGCCTCGCTTGCCCTTAAATAGTGCATCGTATAACATGTTTCCTGAAGGAAATCACATTAGTGTTCTACACAGAGTTGGTTCTGCGGCTGGTATGATGATTTCTTTGATGCTTTATTTTTTTGACAAGTGATTATGTCTTTAATTTGCATTCCTAATCCGTCTTTGGAGAAACGTGGATAATGGACAAACAACCATCTTTGTAGTGACCAAGTTGATTGTTGAGATGCGTAGCTTTCTTTGTTTATTTATTGATAAATAAAAAGATGCGTAAAATACTCAGTTCTGCCCATATGAATATTCAAATGTAAGTTAATTCCTTTGCAGCTAGATTCTTCAGTGCCTCGTGTGTTCCAAATTTTCATTCTCTAGATTTCTTTTGCATCACCGTTTGAATTTCTTCCTTGGTTATGGTTTTATTTTATCCCATTGATATGCACACTAACTATAGCATCATCATCAAAATAGCAAATCATTCAGGAGTTATTTGGATTTGCAGGCTTTCATAAATTTATCTAGATTGTAGTAATTTTTCCTCTTTTATTTTGCTTTTACTATTGAATTGTTTTCCTTTTGTTTATTTATTAATTTGGCTATTTTACTGACGGATGTTTTTTAAATTTTATGGTTGGATTGCAGCAAGTTTTGTGTTATTGCCATTTAGTTACTTTGTCAGTTCAAGTGGTGAGGCTTCTCGAAGTGCATTGGCGGACAGCAGTCTTCATGTTTTACTTACTCTCATTCATTACCGTAAATGTGTTTTGGATGCGAGTGTGAAAGATAAAAGTGATGACAGTGCCACTTCAGAGTTTGTTCTAAAAGAAAATACATATTTTTCTGAAAACCCTTACTGCAAGGCCTTAGAAAATGCTAGGGACATCGAAAGTAAGATTCTCTAAATTGTAACATTATGATTGTTATGGGGTTCACTCCGTGTGTTGCTGAGTAAACTGGTCCCTTGATTGCAGTTGATCGTGTTGATATCGAGGGGAATGCACACAGTGGTCCACTTGTGAGATTACCTTTTGCTTCTCTCTTTGATACTCTTGGCATGTGAGTGTTTATGTTGCTTTTTATTTTTTTATTTTGTATATATATAAAACAGTATATGAAAATTGAATTTAAAATCTGAAGTTATTTCTTGCTAAATTACCTGGCATCCTTGGACTACATTTACCAATTTTTGTAATAAATTAGGTCAAATCTTTTGGTTGAATTTGGAGTTAATTTCTTTAATAGATTTCCCCTATTTTGTGCCTATTAATGATATATAACATGATATTTTGATGTCCTGTGGTACCCTGTAGTATTACAAACTAATAAAGCATTTTGTAGATATGGATAATATATATGCGATAATGCTAGCTTAGCTTTTAGTAAATTTTTTTGAAATGTCATTTCTTATGTTAAATATTGCCTCAAAAACTATTTTAACCATGTATTTTTTATTTATTTATTTATTTTTTACTTGGATACATTTTTTTCTGACAATTGCTAAGGATGGCTTTGTTGTTGCAAATTTTTTTTTTTTTTTAATAATTGAAGTTGGTCAGAGAGCAGAATTGAGGTGTCTTTAACTCAGCCTTCTCCGATATAGCTAGTGATTGTCCTTTCTATTTTATTGAAAGCTATAGTCAAATTAAGGGAATTCAAAATTTAAACCCAACATGAAACATAGGAATAGAAAGCTGATTCTACAACATTATCCTAAATACTGTTGAAATTCTTGTCCTTCAAGTGAGTAAAATGCAAAAAAAAAAATTATTGTCTACATCCCGAGATGGACTCAAATTGCTGGTTTCTGCAGAGTGTAAACTGCCTATGCTTTGCTCTCTGACTGATTAAAGAGGCCAATGATAGGAATACAGACAATACAATTAGTAATAATTTAGTAGCAGTTGGGTTAAATCAATATGCTCTATAATTTTGAATGTGCACCTTTTTTTCTTTATTTGCTTGGCAAGAGAAGGGTCTTCACACTAAAATTCTTAGACTGGTTGACAGGACTGACCACACTTTGGCCCAATGGACTCTAAAGGGACAAAAGTTGGGATCTGTCCATTTAACATTTCTCTTTGGATGTGTTTTTCAACTATTTGAGTATAATACCAGAGAGGTATCAAATTAGCTGATGAAAGATTTTGACAAACTTTACTGATAATGATGGCTCTTCCGATATTGAGTACAAACAGACATTAAATATGGGCTTCCAAGATTCCTAGTCTACTTGGAATTCTTAATCTTAATCCCTTATGTTGTCGAAGTGTATTGATTTATGTGTTTTTATTTATTTTTCAAATATAACTAACTGGTTGTCTCCTTAGGTGCTTGAATGATGAGACTGCTGTCCTACTGCTTTATTCACTGGTGCATGGGAACTCTGATTTTTTGGAGTATGTTTTGGTGCGAACTGATTTGGATACACTGGTATGAAGTAGCAGCTTCTATTTCCCTGTCTTGTTTGCAGTTAATTAGCCCTCGCCCATTGCTTTGGTCAACCCAGGCAAAGATAGAATAAAATCAAGTCTAGAAATTATAGGAGCTATGTTAATGACTTGACAGATGAGTGATGCTAAACTATTCTGTATGATATGCATTTGGAACTTTTGGATTTGTAGAACATAAAAATTTGTAAATTGTGATTGTAATATGGTTATCGACTTTGCTTTCTGTGGTTTTAGAACTGGACATCCATCTTTCTGTGCAAAGTTTTTTTTTCCTGATGAGTTCTCTGAGTGATTTTTTTGGGGGCAACATTGGATGGGGAGGGCGAAATCGAACCCATGACCTCCTAGTAAGGTTCACTGGCTTTAGCCACTGGGTTGACCACAGTGGTTGAGTGAAGTTAGTTGTTAGAGATTTAATTCATAGTTCTTTCAAATTATTGATGTGGCACTCAAAAGAAGATAATATATTAATTAATAAGCTAAGTGATTACTGTTTTTAAGAGCTTTCCTTTTGATAATTTTGATGTACTTTTACTCTCTTTTTTGGTGACTTTAAATGGTTTACAATTGAGTGCTAGCAAGCATGGTTATTAGAATCCTAATCCGGATCGTAGGATTTTACGATTCTACAACTTTAGTTGGGCTAAACGATCTAGATCATACTAGGATCTTAAATTTAGTAGTATCCTAAAGTGACTACGATCCTATTCATAAAATTGTGTAAAATCACAAACAATCCTGACCCCAATACGATTCCGATCCTATACATTTTTTTTTGTTATTATTTGTTTCTTTTATATATGTGTGTATATGTGTATATATATAAAAAAAATTGACTATAAACTCTTTTTTCAAGCATCTTTTCTAATTTATGTTAACTTAACAAATGTATTATATCAAATTTATCGTTTTTCGTTAATCTTTTTAATATTACGTAACATATATTATCATTATCGATGATTTTTTTATTTTATTTTACAACAAAAGTAAAATCTTACGATTCTCGATCCGATTGTACAATCCAATCCACGAGTCCCTTCCAACGATCTCACATAGAATCCCGATTTTAACAACCTTGCTAGCAAGTCATTATGATGGGTAGCATTTAGGGCTTTTTATTGAGAGGCATGGAAGTCACTTTTGTGCCCTCCATGCTGGTCTTTACTCTATTCTCTTGTTCTCCCTTTCTTTCTCTTGACATAATTTGGGAAAAAAAAATCCTTGTACTTTGTCCAAAATGCATTTGAAGAAATTATTTGGGAACCAGATTATGACAAAATATGATTGTACTACATACGTAACTCGATATTCTTGAGCTCCGTAATTTTTTTTATTATTATTGTCTTATTTTATGAGTAGGCATCATATTTACTAGTTACAGGACATAGCCACCATATGTCCTAATTTGATTTGCGTATCTGCACAAAATCAACAGTTGGTGCCCATGCTGGAAGCGCTGTATAATGCTTCAAAAAGGACATCCAATCAAATCTATATGGTGCTGATTATCCTTCTAATACTCAGTCAGGATTCTTCTTTCAATGCCAGCATTCACAAGCTGGTAAGTACTTTCCCTATAGGCCAATTTTGGACTTCATTATAAGAGGATCTATTAACATCTTTATTATTTGAACAGGTATTGCCTAGTGTTCCATGGTACCAAGAACGCCTGCTCCATCAAACATCTCTCGGTTCCTTGATGGTCATAATTCTGATAAGGACTGTGAAGTACAATTTATCTAAGCTGCGGGTATGGTTTGATGCACATCCATCTCTCCTGATTATTTATGTTCAGTTGATTCTTAATCGTTTTCTTTGGATTGCTGTGATAGCTTCCTTGTTTAAGTTGAGATTTGGAAGACCTGTGAAACTCTGTCCCATAAGATTCCCTCGTACATGCTTAGTACTCTAGTTTATTTAAACTATGCAGACAGATCTTTCTCGCAGAGTGCAATATCTCCAGCTTCCATGCATTAAAAAATTGGTCTAATTGATGGCAAGAGATAATAAACTTCCTCCTTAGGATTACTGGAGCCCTACTAAGCATTTTTAAGACCATCTAATGTGCTGACGCCTGAAAAGGTCGAAGCTGTAGATGATATATTTACAGACATCTCAGTTGTGTCAATTGACATTGTAACATTTTATGAAATCCGTGGGAAAGTATATTTCCCCTCAAAATTGGGTATATTGATGGATATGTTGTATCTGAAATTTTTGGTTTTACAAACCATTCTTACTGTAATATTGACATATTTAATTGGTGTAGGATGTTTATCTCCACACAAATTGTTTGGCAACTTTGGCTAACATGGCACCCCATTTCCACCGTTTGAGTGCATATGCTTCACAGAGACTTGTTAGCCTTTTTGATATGCTCTCACGCAAGTATGTCTCTTACTGTTGACAGTTTTCTGTTATTTGTGGAATACTTGATTAATTTGACACATGCTTTACATTTCTGGAATTGTAATTTTGACCCTTTTTTTGTTACTTTCTGTATGATATTATATTCAGGTACTCCAAATTAGCGGAGCTGAAAAATGATAAGATGCATATAGGGTATGGTGAATCAATAGGGGGAGACAGCCTTCCAGAAGATTCGGTAGTTGCCATAATCTATACCTTTGTTATCTTAACTGCATTACTATCTGGATGTCATTCTTATAGCTTTTTTTTTTTTTGGTTGCTAAATTCAAGTATATTTGTTGCAGTCAACAGAATTGCATATTTATACCGACTTCCTGAGAATTGTTTTGGAAATATTAAATTCAATTCTGACTTATGCCCTTCCGCGTAATCCTGAGGTATTATAATTCTTTCTGTACTGATTTATCCAAGATAAAAGCTTAGCTCAACATGCATATGGTTTTTGCACATTTTCATATTTTGGGTATTTTTTCACTGTATGCATTGGCGCAGGTTGTATATGCGATTATGCACAGGCAAGAGATCTTTCAGCCTTTCAAGAATCATCCACGCTTTAATGAGCTGCTTGAGAACATATTTACTGTATGTTCCAAATCTCTAACGGTAAAAAATGTGGTTTATTTCTTTTCCTACATGACCTTCCATTTTTATAGGTCTTGGACTTTTTCAATAGCCGTATGGATGCCCAAAGAGTGGATGGTGAATGGTCCGTGGAGAAAGTTCTACAAGTCATAATCATCAATTGTCGATCTTGGCGGGGTGATGGCATGAAGGTATAGAACAAATGGTTGTGTTGGCATGTTTAATTAGTATCGGGATTGTTTTTTTCTTTTTATTCATTTTTGTTTTTCTTGTATATCCATTTGACAGATGTTTACTCAATTACGTTTTACATATGAACAAGAGAGCCATCCTGAGGAGTTCTTTATACCTTATGTGTGGCAGCTAGTTATATCTCGCAGGTATAGTTCCTGCATTTTAATCATTTTTCTGGTTGGATCTATGCTTATTATACCTTTAGAGATGTTGTAGAGGAAGAATAAAATGTAATGGATTGCATTGCACATTTTGATGTTAACCCTCCCCGCCCCCCCCAACCCCCTCTTTTAAAACATTCTTTTCATGTTAAAATGTTGAAAATAAAGTTTTTCTCAATGTCAATGGGCTACTACTCCTTTCTTATGCTGCCTGTAATTTCATAACACGATTATTTCTATCATGGCGTACTTCGCAAGTTTTTAGGTTTTTAGTTATTTAAATTTAGTTTGATTTTACCAAGCATGATGGGGTTTAATAAAAATATAAGCATACCTTTTTCATTCACATTTGTATACTATTTTGGTTAGTGTCACTAATTTCTTTGTCTTCTTACATGCCCTTTCTGCAGCGCTTTGGATTTTGATCCCAGGAGCATAAACCTGTTCCCAGTTGATCTGCCTGTAGAAGTAAGTATCTTAATTTTGCAAATGTGTTATGTCAATTATTACGCTCTGTTTTGGTGGAAAATATTTTCCGTATAAAAATGCTTTCTTATGTTTGATTGTGACCTTGAAACTAATATACTAGTGGTTGCATTAGTGGTGGTGGTGGTGTGGAAAATGTTTGCCACCTTTCAAAAGAGAAAAACATTTTTTTGTCAAAATAAGCTTATTTTCTGTGGACCATGTTTTTTTTTTGTTGACTTTTGTTTTCTATCATACAATCAGAAAATACGGAAAACATTTCTGCTGAAACAAATGGAACACTAATCTAAATTTTTTTTGTTCCGCTACTTTTGCCACATTGGTTCTTATGGGACCAACTGATTATTTCTCACACTAAAAATCCTGCTAGTATATTTGTTTATTTTATCTGGAATATTATTATTTGTCTCATAAAGAGAGCGAACTATGAGAAATATATTTTTTTGCCTTTTTGATTCAGTATTATGTTAGCTTTTCACTTGCCTGGCTTTTCTGGCTTTTGTTTTCTGATTTGCATTCTTATCCTTTTGTTTTTTGGAAATATTTTCTATTAAAATGATGCCTGTTATATTTTGCTATGAAACAAATTGAAGTGGAGGATAGAATAAATTGAGCTCATGACCTGTAGATCCAAGCGAAGAACTTACATGGATAGAAATTTCGACAATGCTAGGTAGCTCAAAATTTTGTGGCTCAAATGGCTCAAATCACTCAAAACGACGTCGTTTTGAATGTAAAACAACGTAAAACGACGTCGTTTTGACAGATTTGAGCCATTTGAGCCACAAAATTTTGAGCTACCAAACATTTTCCTAGAAATTTTTTTCACAAAAATGATTGATGTGTACTAAATACCATTGTATAGGGATTGACAATGGCATGCATATTTTGCTTTTGTAGACACAATAGCCTTATACAAAGGACTGCCATGCAGCAGGCCATTGTAACCTAGCATCCACAATTAGTAATTGATTGGGTTATGGCTTAGTGTGGGTTGAGTTTCTTCATCTTCAGCTAGTGAAATATTGCTTTTAGAAGCATAATTACAATTCTGCATTGTTTAGTAAATGGGCTTATTTGATGTAGTAAGTGATACTTACGATGCATGGACACGGTTAAGGGGTTTGGGTAATGACACGATACATGCATTTTCATATGAAAATTTTCGAAATACCACATATCAATTTCAGGACCGGTCGGATACATAACTTTTACTGTTCAATACTTGTTCAGAAATTAGATAACAGTTATTTTGAAAATATGGAAAGAATTATTGCTATCTGATACAGATCAACTCCTTTTTGTTAGTAGCCATATGGGCTGCTGCGGTTGAATTCCTAAGAAAGTTAATCTTGTTATAATTTTTTTGTTTTTTTATTTTATTTTTTTATTTCTTAAATGTATGTACACCAAACCATGCTTAATCCGTATGATTATAATTTGACATGACATGATTGTTCAATTTGCTGCCAACAGGATAGTTTTGAAGGAGTAGAAGTCGACAAGCATCAAAATGCCGAGCTAAATGGGGATGCTGTTCAGGTTTGATCCGTCAAAGGTGTGACAGAACACAACCCACTAAAAAATGATAATGTTTCTTAGTGAATATGTATATAAATAAATAGTTAAAAAAAAATTCTCATTCTTTTTTTATGTTTATACATACGAGAGATTGCAGAGGGCCTTTCTGTGTATAGTTGAATTTGAGATACCACCCATGTAAGGAATGAGAGAGGTTTACTTGAGTCATTTTCCATAGTATAGTTGCTCAATTTGGTGAAGCTTTCTCCATATTTATTGGGAAACTGCACGTTGAGGAGGGAACGCACACAAGACATGAAGAAAGTCACATATTGTTCTTCCTTTTTCTTTATTTTATTTTATTTTTTTTGTTGATAAATAAGAGACAAATTGTATTAAATTGTGAGCATCAAGATGATGCTAAAGAATGCATCCATCCAAACTACCATCGGGGAAAAACTAAAATCTCAACCCTGAAGAGAATCAATAAAATCAAGAAAAGAGAACACAGACAGGATTGATCCACTCCACCAGAAACCCAACTATACAAGACCCCAAAAAACAACTACGCAAAAGTGACACTGGTGTTACCACCCCTCGAAAAATCTGATGATTATATTCCAGCCAAATTGACCAAGCAAGGCATAACGGAGCCAGCGCCAAAGCCTTCTGGCACTTTGTGCCAAGCAAACCACTCTCATGGCCAATTAATCCAATCGCCTGATGAATGCCATGTCCCCAATCCACCGTCAGGCCTGACACCGATCAATACGATTGACCTCTGCCTCGTCTATCTTAAAAGACCAATTCCCCAAGAACAGAATCTGATGCTAGCAGTCACACTTGACTGCACCCAATTTCATCTCATGAGAGAGATTATCTACTTCTGCCTCTATCTTAAAAGACTGATTCGCCAAGAATAGAATCTGACGCCAGCAGCCACACTCGACACGCAATTTCATCTGATGAGAGAGATTATCGGACCGATTCACTCCTATAAATAATTCTGTTCTTGGTGCGCAGGATCTTTCTTGTGTCCTGCCACTGGCATTGTTTTGTTATAGAAGTGATACTCACGTTAAAACTTAGATTGTGTTTGAATCTTAGAATTGTGAAAGAACTTGTGTAGAGCGAACTATGAGAAATATATTTTTTTGCCTTTTTGATTCAGTATTATGTTAGCTTTTCACTTGCCTGGCTTTTCTGGCTTTTGAAAAAAAAAAATATAGGAAAATAAGACAATAGAATTTATTTTATTTTCCCCCTCTTTTACCTTTTCTTTTCTCTCTACAATTCAAGATCAAGCATAATCTTAACATTTGCCTTCATGTGCTAGAAATAGTTGTGGGTTAGGGACTAGGGTAGAGTATTGGTGGCCTATGTTGTATGACCTAGTGTTGGGTGCGGGTATGAATCTTAAGTGCGCAATTCATCTTTTTTTTTTAATATATTTATTTTAGAAATAATTCATCTAATTTTTATGTCCAACTGTGGACACAGTTTTTAAAATTCAATTCAATTTTGATTTCAAAACTCATAATCAAACTCTTTCCAAAACTTTATTTAAAAAAAAAATCAATTTTTTTTATTATTTTGTTCTTTAAAATTATTTTTTATTTGTTAGTTTTTTGAATTTTTTTTTGAAGAATTTTTTTTTTTGAAAAAAATATTTTGTTATTTTTTTAAGTATTTGTCAAATAATTTATGGGCGATATAAATTTTTTAAAATTTTAAAAAAAATTAAATATTTAAAATCAAAATAAAAAATATTTAAAAATAAAATATTTAAATAATCTTAATAAATAAAAAAATATTTACAATAAAAAATATATTTTTAAATTTTTGAAATATTTTTAAAAAAAATATAGTGCACAAATGTAGTAAATACAGTGCATATTAAAAAAAATTATAATAGAAAATATTTACCATAAAAAAAGTGGAAATAAGAAATTTGTAAATATTTAAAAAAATTTAAACCCAAAACAATTTTAAAATAAAATTCAAAATTCTTTTCAAAACTCATTTCAAAATTCAAAACCAAACAAGTTTTATTTTTTTAAATCTCATTTCAAAAACTTATCTTTCAAAATATAATTGAAAACTCAAATCTTATTTAAAAAATTAAACCAAATAGAGCCTTAGGTCTCATTTGGAAACAAATTATTTTAGTAACTTTTTGATTTTTTACAAAAAGATGTACAAAAAATAAAGAGAATAGTGCGACAATTTATAGTAATTTTTTAACTTTTTAATTAAAATGTATAGTTGACAAACAACACCTTAATATATCATTAATCTAGGTGTAGTCACCATAACTCTCCTTACATGGCCCTTATCGAGGATACAAAGGCCTTGTTTGGTTTGTGTTTCTCAAAAAATTTTAGGAAAAATTCTCTACAAATAAGTTTTCAAAAATAATCAAACTAAACAAATTTTCTCAAAATTTTTTTTCAAAACTTGTTTGGTTTACAAATTTTTCAAACAAATCTCTCTCTCATACACATCAAATCAATCACTTTTTCTAAAACTCTCTCTCAAAATAATTTTTTAAAATATCTTTTAAAAAAATTAAACTAAATAAATTTTTATACTTTTTATCTCAAAATATGTTTCTGAAATAGAGTTGGACATGTTTCTCAAACCATACAAATCAACTGTTTACTTGGACATATCCTGAAATAGAGTTGGAGACAAGTTAGCCGGCTGTGGCTCAAGATAAACATGTGGCGATACTGGAAAATCCCCCAGAAGATGTGAGAGCTTTGGTCATAGTTGATATGACTGGAGTTAGTATTGCGAGGGAGTAGCCCTCTAGTTTGTGGTAATGCTACTTTAAACTCTTGTGAAATAAATAAATAAATAAATACAGAAATGCACGAGACCCCCAGTAAAAGTCACCCCCAGTGATCCTCAGTGCCACGTGGCACTGCGGGATTGGAAGGAAAGAAAAAAAAAAGAAAAAAAAGAAAAAACTGGCCAATGGGAGAAGCCCACGTCACTGGGGGTCGACCCCCAGTGGGGGTGCGTAGCAAGGTTGAAATAAATAACACCTTTTTTGTTAAAGGTTCTAGGTTCATAAATTTATCTAATCACAAACCCTATTTGTTAATGTTGACACTTTTGTTAATATTTTTTTAAAAAAATGCTAAAGACAGTAAGTAATTTATCAAAAAAATTATCAAATACTCGCATGAGTGTGAGTATAATTAGCGTGTCTAGCATGACTCATTTTTTTATATATACTTGGTAAGGCATATCAATTTGGCTTTTTGTTTTTTCAAGTGTTTATTATAACAAAGTGCAATGAATTATATTACTATTAATGAGACGAAGACACTTTAAATAAAATAAATCAGGAGAAAGTCAAGAATAATTGGTGTTCATGGTTCATGTGAACATTTTTATTTGTCTTTCAATATATTTTTTTTATCCATGTTTTTTGGTATTTTTTTGGATGGATCAAACAACAATAATTTGGTACCAAATATCATTAAAATTTGATTAATAGAACATTACAAGGGAATTATTGCAATATTAATATTACTACAACTTTACAAAGTTTATCTTGTATGCAACTATTTTCTATTTCCCTTCTAGTATGAAACTGTGTATTTGATTTCATATATAATCAAAATTACATTAAAAAAGTGGGACCTACACAAGGGCTCCACCTTTGACAAACTCAGTGAAAGCCAATGCAACCAAACCCAGCATAGCAAACCTCCCATTCCAGAGCTCAGCATCAGAGCTCATAATCCTCTCTGAACGAGACTCCACACTCACCCCTTTGAATAGAGGTACCAGAGATGCTAGGGTTAGCACAATGCTTGTCCCCACAAACCATGGAACTCCACCGTTGGATATCTGGACCAACACATCCTCGCCGTTCGATAGCTCCACCGCCATCGCCGCCACGAACCCTATCATCGCCAGCCTGCCGTTGATTCTCTCCGGTGCGGGTCCACTGAATGCTAACACGTCAGAGAATTTGGTGCTTACCTATCATGGTTAAAAATGTACTATTAAAATCAAAGATTAATGGTTATTGTAAATTTGAGACTTCCCTTTAAAAGTTGATTTTATTAAAAAGATTTGGTGAGGGGACTATGACGTATGGGTATGTTGATAAATATATCGTCCTCATATCAAATATTTACTGATGTAGGATATTTTGTATAGTATTTTTGCATATATATTGGGTACACGAAATACGCAACCCGTACCGTACCCATTCGAAACAATATTTTCTTAAACTATAAAGATAAAATTCATTTTACTAAATTTCTTTTTTTATTTTTAGTTTTATGTTTAGTATGATTTTAAAATTAAGTTATGATTTGTAAGTTATTTAATATAATAATATTTAATTTTTATTTATATATTTACTTTTGGCATTAAATGTTAATTGTAGGTTAGATCTTAACAAATTAATCCATTTAATTAATTTTCGCATTACTCCAAGTTAAAAATAAATATTTTTTTACATACATACCAAAGCTTTTTCTTTTTTTTTTTTAATTTTATCTTATCGATTTACTCGTATCGTATCAGTACACATACTCATACCTGTACCCATGCTTCATAGTGAGGTGACCATTTATCGCTTAGCTTCGTGAGCTAAATTTTTTTTATAAAAAAAATATGAAAATGATTTGATAATGTCATTTTTAGTGTATAGATTTAGTTACCTTTAATACTTTGCAAGTAACATTACACTTTCAAATAGGACAGTTGACCTAATGGTCTATTGTAGCTGTTTCTTAAAACAGTGTGAATGCTTGATATTTAAAATTCAAAGAGGTTCAAGATTTGAGTTGATTGAACAAATATGACTTTTTTGTTGTAATATAATTTAGTAATTCATTAACTACCTGTGCACAGTTTTTACAAAAAGATAAAGTGAAAAGTGTAAAGTTTATATTTTGTAGGGTGTGAAGTGTAAAGCAATTATAAAGTTTAGGATGACATACATACATACATACATACATACATATATATATATATATATTTTAAAGGGTATAACTGTAACATTTGTAAAACTGTAAAGAGGTAAAAGGACCATTAAACCTAGGTAAATATTACTTCATCTTATAATATCATTTGTAGATAATTATATGAAATTAATCAAAAAGATTTGGTGAAGTTGAATTAGCCATTAGGGCACTACGACTACCTTTGGCTTCGGTGTCACGTCCTCTTTTTGACCATACTGCCCATTCAAACAATCAAGCGGTTAGATTTCTCCCAAATCTATTAAACATCAAATCATGCAACTCAAAACATTAGAAGACAGAGATCAACGGTAACAAAAACAATTCAAGGCCTACCTTTGCCATGCACCGCACTTGCATGCTAGCATTCTTCTGCAGATATGGCACGTAGCTGCAAGGAGTAAACTGACCAAACCTAGCCCTCGTTGTGACACTTGTCACCGGTCTTGCCAGGACGGACTGCATGATTGCTGACGTGGCCATTTGAAAATAAAAAGTTTGATAGGAAATAATAAGCTTTGATCTATGTAGAGAGGCTATTGACTGATGAGATACTTATGGGATGTGAATAAGGGTTTCAAAGGGTGATATATATAGGCATGGAGAGCAAATGAATTGGTGGATGTGGTAGTTCCACATCTTTTACTACTTTGGACCCATATGGGTTGTTTGGTTTTACTTTGTGAGTTCCCGTGAGGTTGGTTGATATAATTTTTGTTTATTGTTTATTAGATAGAAATAATTTAATATTTTTTTTAAAAAAAGGTAATTATCTAAATGTTTGGGAGATGAGCTTTTGATTTTTGTTATTAAGTATTTTTTTATTACAAATACAATATTTTGATATGATGTTTTTAAATTAATAAAACAGCAATACTAGGTATCATGAAAAGTCTTTCATGAAAATAGTTATGAAAAATTTGTGACCTTTAGATTACACTTACAATAAAACACCACACACTAATCAAGGTAATCTAAGGGTCACAAAATTTTCATGATCATTTTCATGACAAAATTTTCATGATCTCTAACATTTCTCTTAATAAAAATAGTTGTAATAGGATGAATAGAGCCACTTAATTGGGTGCAAGACAAAATCGACTGTAACCATTTTTTTTTTTAATGTTATTTTATTGTTTGCGAATATAAGGTGGAACATGTCACAAAGGGGCTTTGAAAGTATTAACCAAATTTTCATAATAAAAGTAATGTGGAGATGATTAAATTTGGTTACCCTTCATGTGCCCCATCATGACACATTAGTAAATACATTTAGAATAAAAAATTAAATGAGTAATGTTAAGATTCTAAATTTTTTTCTAAATTTTTTATCAGATGTCTTTAATAGGTGTGAGATTCATGTGGATCTTCTATCTATGTAAGACATTTAGTAAAAATTTTAATAAAACTTATGAGATCTGTAACATTTAGTTGCCAATTGACGACTTTCGGCGACTAAAAAAAATTAGTCGCCAATTCTTTTGCCGATAGTTGGTCGACGACCAAATAGGCTACCAAAAATTTTAGTCAGCAAAAATCTTTGACCACTAAAAAGATAATTTTTCACGATTAAAAATTTAATTGCTAAAAATATAATTTGTTGGGTTGGTTTGAGAAGTGGGTTGACTTTTTGGCTTTTTTAGCTATTTTAGCCTGGGCTAAAAAGTTTAGTTTGGAAAGGACTTTTTGATTTTTTGGCTTTTTTTGACTTTTTTGTGAGAGAAGAGTGTAATGATTATGGATTGAATGTGATGTTTTGTTTGTTGTGGCTAAAATAGCCTATTTTATCTTTTGTGGCTATTTTAACCAAAAAAAGTTCAAAAAGCCTCTTCCCAAACAGAACCGTTGTAGTGATGTCACCATCTACTTTGGACCCCAAAGGTCTTTAGGTCACGTGGCCTCATTTTGTCTACATATGCAGTGTCCGGGTGACGTGGCCAATACATCCACTACAACTGTTTTGGTAGATTGAATCAAGATTTGAGGGGGCATGCGTTAGCGTTAGGATTGAATCAAGATTTGAGGGGTCACGTGGCCTCATTTTCCTCAACTTCTTTGGGGCATGCATTACAGTGTAAAAATCGAATTTGGTTTGGTGCATATTAATCGTACAATTTGATTTGATTTTTATAGTTACAAATCTAACCGACATAAAACCGTACCATTTAGATTATATATAATTTGTTAATGTAAATATTAAAGTATTTTATTAATATCAAATATATATATATATATATTATAACTCTCTATTATTATACGTATATTTTTGTATAGTGATAAAAATAGTTTTAAACAATTATGTAAATAATTCTTAGATTGTAAATAATATTCTGTGATCATATTATGAATAATGATAATATTTTTAAAATTTACGATTCCAAACCAAACTACATTTTAGTGGTTCGCTTCGAATTGATTCCAAATTTTTCGTGAATTGATTTAATTCCAAATTTGATAGAACTATAGGTAATGAATTGATCTTGGTTTACGATCAAACCAAACAAATCCAAACCATGCTCACCCTTACATGGCACAATTTTTTTTTTTAATAACGATACAATTTGTGTATTTTAACTAAAATTCAATTAAAAAAAACTAATTCTAAAATTTAAAAATTAAAAGTAGAACAAATTTCAATAACCACTCAACGAACTTAAAATTTTAAATTTTATTCTTAAATTTTTATCAGCCAACCAATCTTTATATGGGAAATGTTTCGGTGTGTAATACACACTATATATAACTTTATCATAAAATTATGTAAGTCATAAGTGATCTTATAAAAATACGTAAATTGAATATAAATTCGTGTAAATTTATAAAATCTTAACATTTATATAAATTTGTGTTTAACTTATATATTTTTATGAAATCACTTATGTAAATTCATGAAAATTTACATAATTTTATAATAAGATTAAATATGACGTGCATTGAATGCCACGTTCACATGGCATTGCTAATCCCTTCCTTGTAGGGTATATTCATGATCCCATGAGATTCTCTTTCCAAACAAACATGTATTTTGTGGGGTTTATAAGAGTTGTAATCCAATCTCATAAGCTGGGGAGAAAAACAAATAGGAGGGTGAACACCGTTACTTTACCAACACTACAAGAAAAGGGAGTAAAAAATACGAAAGCTTTTGCGACGGCAGATTAAACCGTCGCAAATAAAGAGTTTTAGCGACGGCGTTTGACCATCGGTAATAAAACTACACAGGTAGTGTAATAAATGCGGAAGTATTAGCGATGGGGTTTTGTACCGTCGCAAAAAAAAATTGTTTTGAGACGGCATAAGTTTGTTGTCGCAAATAGTGGACGACAAATGTCCGTCGTAAATAAAGGCTTATGAAAACGGCGTCGTTTTATGAGCTAATTAGTTACCATTTGCGACGGTGTAAAACGTACCATCGCAAAAAGTAAAAAAAAAAATTGGCCCCCGCTCTTCCCTTTCATCTTGCCGCTCGATCATTTGGATCGAAATCCCTAAATGTTTGAAACAAATTTTTTTCCCCCAAAATCCCCAAACGAGCGACGAACGGTGAACGGCTCTCTCTGGACTAGCGACGAACGGCGAGCAGGCTAGCGGTGGTGCGACGACGACGAATGACGAACGGCGAGCAGGCTAGCGGTGGTGCAACGACGACGAGCGACGAACGGCGAGCAGGCTAGCGGTGATGCGGCGACGACGACAGCTACTCAGCGTATGCTCTCTCTCTCTCTCTGTATATATATATATATATAGATGGATGTATATTGATAAACATTTTTGAGTTAGCATTTCTAATTTCAGAACTCTTCTTAAGTTTTTGAGTTACTTTTAAAAACATTTTTCATTTAATGTCAATACCAAACAATGCACTAAGATATTCTTTAGCATTTATGAGAAAATAAATTGATTATAATTAGAATGAAACAAGCAAAGGAATTAGAAAGAGAATCTTTCATTCCCCAACCTGTGAAAATCTGGACTAGTTTTCTCTCTGCATGGCTTGTTTCAATCTGACTGTACCATCTGTATATTCATTTTTATTGGTCCCTGCTTTTCCACCTACATTTTAAATTTTATTATTATTATTATTATTATTATTATTATTATTATTATCTTTTTTGTATGATTGAGCTAAAGTTTAAAGGGCTTGTTTTGGAAATAAGTCATGTTGGTGTTTAATTGTAATTTCACAACAGGAGACACCTGAGCCGATGATATGAGCTTGGATCAGCTACTTTGAGTTAGTAGCTCAAAAGTTTTTTATCATCTCTAATCATAATTTTTTCTTCTTTACAGAAGTTCTAAATATCTTTGTGTTTGTTACTTTGAACTCACTTGAAAAGGGAAAACTCAGGTTCTTCACCATGAACAACCATTTTTTTTTTATTAACTGTTTGGAGAAGATTTAGAGTTCTAGTACAAGTCTGGCTTCTATCTAATTAATTGAAATCTAGCCGTGAGAGAAGCAGTGGGGCCCTCTTTCCATGACGATCCATTCTTCTCTTAAAACTGCACTTTCAGATAGAGAGAAAGAACGTGTTGGTCCCATTTGGTAGAGCTGTGAAAAAGTGATTGTAGATTATAGTTTATAACTTATCAGATTATAACTTATAACTGTGAATAAGTTTCACTAATTGATATATCAATTAATGCGTATAGCATCATAGGTTGAAAAATGATCATGTTTCTTGTCTTGAGGTAATCATTCAAAAACTTTAAACAAATTTTGAGATATAATAATTAATAATAGTTTATTGAGACAAAAATATGATCATTTAATAATTTTGAAATATTACATAAGATTATCTATATGGTGTTCAAAATAATAATGTAGACAATAATGATCCATCTTTATTAAATAATTTTTGAGACAATATATGATTAGTGTGTTTTTGTACAACTCATCTATCAAGTTTATAAATAATGCCGCATAGTATTATGGAATACTAATAATTTAGAGAATTCTATCATACACATCCATTTATCATATGCATCATTAGTTATGTCATTTTTTTTTTCTTTAGTTATGATGAATTATCTTCGTTAATTATGATATTATTTTATTTAAGATTTATAAGATCTTTGGTTGTGCCTCATGTGGCGTTTGGTTATGATTTATTTATTTTTTTAGTTATTGTACAGGCACGAAATATTCTTCCCGTATAATCCTGTTGATCAAGATTGTGCTCCTCCGTACGTCGTCACTTTATTCCTTGAAAACACAAACGTGAGCTAGTCGGCGGGTGTGTGCCGGATACCTCTCCGATGCCTAAGTCAGCAAAATAGACAGATAGACAAAAAGCTCTGTGTATTCGATGATCAAAGTTGTGTTACCCCTCCATAGGTGATGTTGTGAGCTTTTATAGGTTCCGCGTGGCATAATCCTACTAGGACTCTTACTCCTCCATGTAGAGTCCTCCTAGGAGTCATACTCCCGAAAGATAATACTTATCCTTCAACACCCTCCTCACTGCTTAAACCAAGTGAGATGGTTTTACCATAGTCGGACTCCAATATGACCGAGGTAAGCATGGCTATGCTAAGCCGCAAACTAGACCGAGCTAACTTTAGCTCGGCTCTT